CACTCGTACGCACAACTTAAGAACGAATCTGTGCGTACGAACGGTTCTTGCATGAGGCCCACTGTTCATTAAGGCGATATTAACTCACAAATAATTAGTTAACAATCTAGTAAACATAAAGTTCTTTATTTGAACCAGAACTGTACAAGACTTACTGAAGTGTTTAAATAGATTCTATGGAAATTCTAAGTGCAGATGGACTGAACATCTTGTAAACATGTCAAACAACATTCATGGCTAAATATCTTAATCCACCTGCCCCTCAGATGGACAACTGTGGCCCTCTAGATCTTTGGCCTTGACTAAACCAGAATTATGAACAGAGAATATTGAATAATAGCAGAAATATTACTGGTATTTATTAAAAGGGTGTACAACTTCTTAAAAATAAAAATAACAACACATGAAATCTGTAATTTCATTAGCATTAGTTGAATCTTGTGTATCTTTCACTTAAATAACTAATATGTCTACTCATAAAACCGATTTCAGATACCTGTAATGTAATTGTGGTGAAGCCGATTAAGTGTGAAAGCGGCCTGCCATACACTTGAGCTTCCTTGTGCTGCTGAAATGATCTGCTGCTCACAGAGCAGACACCAACTGCTAAATTAGCAAGATGAACTTAAGAGAAAGCAGCCGTCCACATCTTTTCATCTCCACAGTTAACAAGAAAAAAAAAGTTTTTCAGACTCAGAAAAAAAACCTACGGTTGGTTCGCTATGTGTGTGTGTACATGTTTTAGTGTTACGGTGGGGACAATTATTGACAATTTCCCTGGTTAAAACACACTGAATTCTGTTACTTTCTTAAAGGAATGAATGATGTTTTCAGATGTTTTCTCAGTATTGTCTGTATTTGTATCAACTCTTAAAGTGTACTCATGTTTCTTCACTGTTGGATCATATTTTAGGTGAAAAAGCTCTAGCAGATGCAGGGATCCCATATTCAGCCATCGAACAAGCCTGTGTAGGATATGTTTATGGTAAGACTCTCACTGAAATGTATTAATAGCTTTGAATAATACCACGTTCATCACCAGATCTGAATGTTGACAATATCAAATCTTTTCAATGTAGTTTTGTTTTCTGAGTAGATAAATTAGAATACAGCGGGTAAAATAAGTATTGAACACGCCAACATTTTTCTCAGTAAATATATTACTAGAGGTGCTAATGACAAGAAATCTTCAGCAGATGTTGGTAACAACCTAAGTGATCCATACATACAAAGAAATCAAACCATAAATGTCCAGAAATGAAGTTATTTGTAATAATGTGGAATGGCACAGGTTGCATGCCACTAGTTTCTCCATACAGGAGGCGTCTTGAAGCTGTCATTGCCAACAAAGGTTTTTGTAAAAAGTGTTAGATAAATTTCAGTGTGTTCAATAGTTTTTCCCTGTGCCATTCCACAATATTACAAATAACTTCATTTCTGGACATTTATGGTTTGATTTCTTTGTATGTATGGATCACTTGGGTTGTTACCGACATCTGGTGAAAATTTCATGTCATTAGCACCTCTAGTAATATATTTACTGAGAAAAATGTTGGTGTGTTCAATACTTTTTTCCCTGCGTCATTCCACATTATTACAAATAACTTCATTTCTGGACATTTATGGCTTGATTTCTTTGTATGTATGGATCACTTGGGTTGTTACCGACATCTGGTGAAAATTTAATGTCATTAACACCTCTAGTAATATATTTACTGAGAAAAATGTTGGTGTGTTCAATACTTATTTTACCC